TTAAAATTGCACAAATAAATTTATAAAAAGTATTGGATTAAAAAAAGAAGAAACTCCGCTAATCTACTTCTTTAATAAATCAGTCATTTATAGTTTCCATGTTTTTTCCCAATCTTGTTTGCATGCATAACCAACTTTACATAGTTGTAATTACAGTGTAGGTTCAATTTTGTATTCTGCCTTTTTCACTTAGCATTATTCTTCCATAGCAACTTAAAGAGAGTTTTATTTACGGTTATTTCAAATGTAGAAAATATAATTTTCTAAACTGTACTTAAGTACTCAATTTAAATATTTTAATGACCAACCCAAATCGTCAAATGTACTCTAGATAAGGGTGCTTTATAGTTAATGCTTAACATTGCAGGAAGAAACTTGCTTATACATTAAATTAAAGTCAAATGTTATATGCAAGTGGAAATGAGGGCATTAAAGGCGCGTGGTCTTTATGTACTTGGACATTTTTCGACAGTCAGATGTAGTTCTAGAATTGGTTAGTCTGCCTGCTAAATTTTCATGCCCTGAACTCATTCAGCCAGTTGTAAAATTGTACCTTTTTGCAGATGACTTCACACGTGCACCTCATTTATACTTGAACTTGCTATGATTCAGATAGCATTATCCTAAATGATGTTAAGAAATTGTTCATTTTCTGTGTCAGCGAAAAATGAGGAAAGGCCAACTACATTTTGCCTGAAGAGAGTCATGTCAGAACTGACATCTTGGCAGATACAAAAATGCAAGTAAGATATTTTAACAGGGCATACTAAAACTAATGAACTGAAGATCAATATACACTGCTACATTGTATTAAAGTGGCATCTACTGAATTTACAAATGTTAAAAGATATGCTTTATTAGTTGCTGTGGAACCCTCTTTCATTTTAGTTTATCACTTAAAAAATAAATTTGCTTTAATTTTATATAATTTTTAACCCTTGTTTTAAAATGAGTCAGAAACATAGAGTTTTAGAAGCACTTCTACTATAACACACCAAAAGGAAAATTGAATATCTATCCATGTTTATTAAAAAAGCCAAAAAATTGAACAATGATTTTTTTCCATCGGTAAAGTAAGTAACCTATCAAGAGCTCTTGTATGCGATTTTGTGCTTTAATCTAAAAAGCTGATATGATATTGGAATATTTAGAAATTACAGGTCAATTTTCAATACTTAAGCTACTATTTAACTTTTATTAATATATGGTGACCAGTTTTAATGTCTACATTTTCAGGGAAATGTTTTGTTTTGTTTTTCAAAGCTCAGAACATTTAGAAATGATTAAATGTCTTAGAATTGATTACATGGATATTGGTTGAAACAGTAAATCTGATTGGGTTGTTTTTCCTGGAGGTAAAATTAAAATGGTGACTTAGTGTTCTCTTCAGGTATGGGTTGTTGTACTGGTCACCCAGGACGATTTCAGTTTCTCTCCTCAATTCCTGTTAAAACAGTGGTTCTCAAAGCTCATGATATCAGCATCGCCTGGGAATTGGGAGCCTTACTGAATCAGATTATATGAGGTTGGGACTCACAATCTAGGTCTAAACAAGTCCTGAAGTCCTCAAATGTGAGAACTACTGTGTTAGAAATAGAGGAGGGGAAAGAGCAGATACTACAAATGGAGAGCTAAGAAAAAAAGAAGGATGAATGATTTGGATTTGCTTTGACCTCAAGAAGAATGCCTCAAAGGGTAGTGGTTAGATGGAAGGAGTGTATTACAGCAGACTTTGGTCTTTCTAGTCCTGTAGTAATTTAAACTAGAAACTCATCATTGAGGAGCACTCTGCATTTTATATTCTCTGTCACATCCACTGAGAGCCAGGTGGGTTGGCATTTTGCTGCAACTGGGTGGGGACACAACTCCCAAAGAGCTTTATTACCTCCATGGGGACTTTTCCAAAATAGTATCACATTTGCGTGTTAATTCTTACCTTCTTCTTTCTTCTTAACTCTCTCCCTTAAGATGCCCGAAATATACACATATACATATATACCAGGAGAGTACCAAAAAAAAACAAACAAAAAAACACCACCAGAATTTTTTCCCCAAAGCTATGTATTTATTTATTTTTTAACAAACCAACCTTATCACCTTCAAAGTACTCTCCATTACACTTAATACATTTGTTAAATCTGCGATTCCATTCTTGGAAACATTTTTCAAACTCACATTTGGATGGTTGACAGCACTTCCCTCTTTTTTCTTCAACTCCTCTACATCATCAAATCGCCACCCCTTCATGTCCCTCTTCATTCACAGAAACAAAAAGAAGTCACACAGAGTGAGGTTAGGTGAGTGAGGTGCATAGGGCAAGAGAGGCATGCTGTTTTATCCCTAAAACTGCACTGAAATGGCTGTGTGAGCAGATGCATTGTCTTGGTGGCAAAACTAGTTCCCTGGCTGACACAAATCAGGCTATCTTTTCAGAACTTCTAAATGGAAAGCTTGATTAACAGTCTGACCTGGTGGAATGAACTGTGAATGCACTATTCCCTTCAAAATGATCATCGTCCAGATCCTTGATTTCATTTGACAAGCTTTTTTGGGGTGAGGTGATGATGGTGTCTTCCATTGGCTTGATTGATGTTTGATTTTGGGGTTGTAAAAACAGCGCCATGTCTCGTCACCAGTAAATGACCTTAGGAAAAAAGTCCGGGTCGTTTTGGAGCTGTTCTTTCAAAGTATGGGTTGTTTCCACTCAATGCTCTTTTTCCTGGTCTGTCAGAATGGAGGCACAAATTTACTAGTGACCCTTCTCATTCCCAAATCTTTTGTTAAAATTTTCTGAACCAAGCTCCATAATAATCCAGATAACTTCCCCATCTGTTCCCTATCTCAATGGTCCATCGTTGGTCGTTGAGTGTGTACTTGTACACTTGAGTGTGGTAGTTACATAATCTGGTGTCAATTTGAGAGGATTATGAGTGAAGGGGTGGAGTCTGGCCTGTAAATCAAGATATAACCAATGAGGCCTCTGTATGGGTATGGCCTTCTCCTGCGAATTTTGGGAACTCCTGTATTTTCCTCCTTGGAGGCGGGAGACACTTCTTTCTCTCTGCTCACTCCCTGAGAGACACTCTACTGACAAGACACATGGTGCTATGTCCTGAGAGCTGGAGAAGCCACATGGAACTACCCTGATATAACCAGACCTCTGGAGCCAGAGAAGCCACATAGAGACCCCTGCCAGTGCTGAGATGCTTACGACGCCACTGAATCCACAAGACTTCCCACCCACTAGCCTGTGATCCTCCTGCATTCAGCATCATTTCATGTATTTCATGAGTCTGAAGGAACTTTATAGATTGGTGTCGGACATATGGGCTAATATTGGACTTATGAACTTGATCTGGACTGGGCTGGGATGTTTTCTCAGTATTCAATTTCTCTTGTATATAAACATCTTTCTTATATACATATGAGTGTCTATGAATTTGTTTCTCTATCTACCCAGAATAACACACTTGAGTTTTCCCCAAAATGCTGCTATTGTAAGCTGTGTTCAACATCACAACAGTTCCTGGGGCATTTTTCCATTTTTAAAAAATGGGTACCTCTTTGTATGTGTTTGTGTATCTATCTATCTATGCCTATACATATTAAACTTTTCATGCACGTGTCTTGGAAGCATCACTGGCGCTCTGACTGGATTTGCAGAATTGAATGAACTATCTTTAAATTGCTCCCTTTTTCTTGATCCTGTAAGATCATGTAGAGAAGAGCGTTTAAAATGAAAAGGGAATTGCTGTTCACATGTAAAATGAAAATGTAAGAAACATTACTAACCTCTTTCTCTGAGCTTTTTTTTAAGCACAGGGAGTAACTAGTTACAGAGATCCAAAAGCAATGCCTTTGCCCTGGCTTCTGCCTTCACCCTAAAGAACACCCAAACCGTTTCACTGAGACATAATCCATGTATTATACAATTCAATAGTTCCATCATATGAAGAAGAGTTGTATATTCATTACCCCAATTTTAGAACATTTTCTTCTTTCTTGTACTCTTTTTTATTAGCTCCCCATTTACACACCACCTCCCCTACCAAGCCCCTAAGAAACCATTAATCCAGTACTGGCTCTGTAGAGTCACCCATCATGGATTTCATGCATTGAAACGCATACACAAAGAAACAAAACAAACAAAAAAGCTGGCAAGCACAAGATAAAATCGAGGAAATGCCTAATAAAAAAGAAAGCGGAAAATATAAAAAACTAGAGCAACTTTAAAATGTGTCAAACGGGGATCCTATGATAAGGTGTTAAAGTTTATACCTCTGCCATAATCTGTTTTGTAATGCACTCTGCATGATAGCAAGGCTGTTCACATCCCTTAGGTACAGTCAGAGGGAATTCACAGGAGGCTTAATCTATGTGTGGACTCTGCTCATGGAGTTTGGGTTTCCACTTTCACCCATAGCCTTCTATAAATCAGGAGTTCACAGTTTATATTCTGATACAAAATTATATTAAATTTTAATATATATATAAATTAAAATTTTCATGCACTTGTCTTGGAAGCATCACTGGCATTCTGACATGATTTGCAGAATTGAACCAACTATCTTTAAATTTCTTTAGATTATATTTGTACAATTCTTGGATCACACAGACTGGTGTGCTTGTTACATGTGGACTTAGTTGACACGTCACTCAGATGGCTACCTGTTTGAAAACAAGTGTTTAAGATCCCAGATGTTATTCTTCCTGATAGTTGGACACCATCTAGTGTTTTCATTACATTTTACTCTAGCACCCATATCTTTAGTAATCTCTTTGAGGGAGAGAAAGCTTCAACAGGACCATGTCATAAGAACTAATTATTCTTAGAGTAGGGCTAGAATTAAGTGGAAGCTTAAGATCCAATCATATATCCATGGTTTATATATGTCTCTGGTTCACCTTACAGACATACTTGCCATTTTATGTTAGACAACATTATCAATCATCTCCCTGGGGCATAAGGTACATCTGTAGATAATGCCATAATATTTTTTTTTACTATTATAAAAGTTTATTTAACCAAAAAAATTGAACGTGAAAAATGTACATAGCCTCATTTTTACACTGTAGTAAAGCGGGGTGCGTAGAAACAACTGATGTAGATAGACTGTTGAACGTAGCTATCATACTCGCTCCAAGGCTTCTAACATGATGAGACTATTGCCTCTTATCACCACCATTCCAATATTGTTCTGTTGTCCACTAGTTGCCATCTCCACACATTCATCTATCACAAGATTCATAAAGGGATCAAATCCCCGAAGTATCCCTTGGACATGCCTGCCACCATTTAATTTCAATGATAACTTCTTGTCCATAAATTGTTTGAACTCGGGCGGATGAGCCTTGCTCATTGTGTCTTCTCTGAAGGGTCAGCGCTGCCTTGAAACAGAATTCGTGGCTCCCCTCACTCTCCTGCGGTCGGCCGGCGTCTTGGCGTCTGATAATGCCATAATTTTAACCAATTGTATAGAATTGCAAGCACAGCTGAGAAAAGGAGATTATGCAAGTATAAGCTGGCTACGAACTGCAACACGTGAATCTTTGATTTGTACAGATTAAGCTGCACACTATACAGAAACAATTGGAGGTTAGCAATAAGGTAATATTTTCAATAATATTCATTGACAATGGCAGAACCAGGCCTAAAAGATTAATACACATCTCCATAAAGCAAGGAGGACATTAAAATAGCAAGAATATGGTAGTCTCCAGTGGCCACTGTTCATTGGGCACCCCTAAGGCAAGAGCTCTGATCCAATGTCTGGCTACCACCAGTTTTATACCCTTGGAAAAGCAACCATCTCCTTTTTTTCACACTCAGAAGTGCTGTCCTTAATTCCAAGGACTACAGGTGAGTTTGAAGTTTAGCCCCATTCACCTTGTGGAGTTTCCACATTGAGTTCTTCAGGTGTGGCCTATGAAGGATGCTGTGTGCCTCAAACAAACAGGGTGCCCAGTAGTCTATAACTCATGCCCTGGGTTGCCCTGGGCTGGATAGAAACTAGAACAGAAGTATCTAATTAAGGACATAATTCTCCTCTTGGTTCTGGGTAAGTATTGTTAAGCATTTTCCCCCTCAATGGGAGGTTGACTTTCCCCATTTTCCTCCCAATCAGAATATACTTGCCTTTTCCGAGACATGCATCTTTGTCCTATCTAGACTTGATTTTCCAGTAGGTTCATTTATCATTCTGGTAGGATGTCTGTTGATTTGGGGGGAACTTTGCACTTTTTTTTTTTAATGGCAGCAACTAAATGATCATCTCCCCCTCCCCAGATCTTGATAAGCTGACACCAGATGAAGGGAGATCTCTTTTGTCAGAGTGATTTTTAAGCTGTTCATGGAGAGGGGGCGATGTATGCTTCTTGGGAAGTAGGCAGGCTCTCTCCCGAATTGCTTGGCAGACTAAGTTAGCAGATTGCATGAACCGGAAACAGAAGCCTGCCTTCCTCTGGGCATTTATCTTTATTGTAGTGGATTTATATAATAAATATTTGTCCTTTAATGATTGACTAATTTCACTCAGCATAATGGTTTCTAGGTCCCTCCATGCCATCAGGTGTTTCATGGTTTCATGGATTTTTTTTTTTTTAGGGATGGATAGTATTCCATTGTGTGGCTATATCAGAGTTTTAAAAATCCACTCTTCCGAAGCAACAAAACCCACACGGAAGAAGCACACCAGCCTGTGTGACCACAAATGTTTAAGGGATCAGGTATCAGGCATCAAAAACAAAAAATCATATCAATGTGTGCCCACCTTCCCGATATGATCACTGAAGACAAATGTGTGCATAAGCAAATGTGGTGAAGAAAGCTGATGATGCCCGGCTATCAAAAGATACAGCATTTGGGGTATTAAAGGCTTGAAGATAAACAAGTAGCTCAGAAGCAACAAAGCCCACAAGGAAGAAGCACACAAACCTGTGTGATCACGAGGTGTCGAAGGGATCAGGTAACAGGCATCAAAGAATAAAAAAATCATATCATTGTAAATGAGGGGGAATGCAGATTGTGGATCCAAAGCCCATCAGTAGGTAACTGGACATCCCCTTACAGAGGGTCACAGGGAGGAGACCAGCCAGTCAGGGTGCAGGGTAGCAACGATGAAACATACAACTTTCCTCTAGTTCTTAAATACTTCCTACCCTCACTATCATGAACCCAATTCTACCTTACAAATCTGGCTAGACCAGAGGATGTACACTGGTACAGATAGAAACTGGAAACACAGGGAATCCAGGACAGATGATCCCTTCAGGACCAGTGGTGAGAGTGGTGATACCTGGAGGGTGGAGGGAAGGTGGGGTAGAAAGGGGGAACCGATGATAAGGATCTACATATAACCTCCTCCCTGGGGGACAGACAACAGGGAAGTGGGTGAAGGGAGACATTGGACCATGTAAGATATGACAAAATAATAATAATTTATAAATTATCAAGGGTTCATGAGGGAGAGTGGAGCGGGGAGGGAGAGGAAAAAATGAGGAGCTGATACCAAGGGCTTAAGTAGAAACCAAATGTTTTGAGAATGATGAGGGCAACAAATGTATAAATGTGCTTGACATGCAATAGATATATGTATGGGTTGTGATAAGAGTTGTATGAGGCCCCAATAAAATGATTTTAAAAAATCTACTGTTCTACTGGAGGGGATTTGGGCTGTTTCCAGCTTCTTGTTGTTGTGAACTGCGCTGCAATGAACACGGGACAGCCTGTATCTGTCCGTGTTCTGTCTCTTATTTCTTTGGGGTGTCTGCCCGGCAAAGGTATTGCTCAGTCACATTGTATTTCTATCTCCAGTTGTTTTCGGTAGTGCCATGCCTTTCCGCAATGGTTGTACATGTTGACAGACCCATCAGCAGTGTAGCAGAGTTCCAATCTCTCTTCAGCCTTTGCCATCTCCATTTTTTCTCAATTGGGCTATGGCTGCGGGTGTTGTTTTGATTTGCATTTCTCGGGTGGTTAGTGAACATTCCCTCAGGTTTGTTAGCCATTTGAGTGTTGACCTTTGTGAATTGTTTATCCAGGTTCTTTGGTCACCTTCTAAGTGGGTTATTTGGTGTTTTAAAAATTTACTGAGGTGTTGCAGAATTCTGTAGATTTTAATAATTAATCCCATGTCATTGCTAAAGATCTCATTTTACCCTTTTGATGAAGTCTTTGGAGGTGCATAAAGGTTTTATATTTAATAGGTCCCAGTAAGTTTAAAAGAAGCTGTTTCCCCCCCGATATTCGGGGCTTCATCTAAGTAGCTTGGTGAACTACTTCTCACAAACCAGGCTTTGAGACCTCGGGGGACACAGCTGTACTCAGCGACATCTGGTGTTGCTGTGGGTTAGTGGTCACACAAGGGACCTGCCAGGTGTGAATGCCTGGAGTCCGAGGGCCGCAGGTTTCCTCTATGTGCTACACCAGCCAAGGATGCAACAAATATGTTTTCTGTGAATACGCTTCATTGAGCTTGAGAGAGAGTCAGCAGAGGCCTATGATCGGTGCACTATGACTCGCACACCCTGCTCCCCAGTGCAGATTCCCCTCCCTGTGTAATGTCTCTTTCCATAGCACTTTTTACTTGCTGAGATGCCCTGTCATTTGCTGACTTAGCTTATTTTAGTTTTCCTCAGTCCTCCAAAAGGGACAGATATTTTGATCGGCTGGTTCGATGTTGCATCTTCCTTCAAAACCACCTAAAACAATTCCTGGCACAAAGCCCAAACCAAACCAAACTCCTGCCATGGAGTCAACACTGACTCACAGCGGCCTATCAGACACGCGAGAACTGCTCCTGAGTTTCCAAGAGGGTAACTGTTTACCGGAATAGAATCCCCATCTTTCTCCCTCTGAGTGGATGGTGGTTTTGAACTGCTGATCTCATAACTACCATGACCCAAGGTGTAACCATGACACCACAAGGGCTCCTGGAACAAAGAAGGCAGTCCATAATCAGTAACTGAAAGAATGAATGCGTTGTTGTTGCAACATTCATGTATTTGTTTAAGAACCACTCGTTGAGCAGTACAGTGAACCCTCGTTTATCGCGGTTAATCGGTTCTAGACCTTACCGTGATAAATGAAATTCCGCGAAGTAGGATTCCTTATTTGTAAATCAAATATTTTCGTAGTTAGAGCATAGAGGACATGAAAAAACACTCTTTAG